GTAGCAGAGAGAACAGTCTATGACTAGGGTGGCTGGAGTCTTTGACAATTTTGAGGGCCTTCCTCTGACACCGCCTGGTATAGAGGTCCTGGATGGCAGGAAGCTTGGCCCCAGTGATGTACTGGGCCATACGCACTACCCTCTGTAGTGCCTTGCGGTCGGAGGCCAAGCAGTTGCCATACCAGGCGGTGATGCAACCAGTCAGGATGCTCTCGATGGTGCAGCTGTAGAATTTTTTGTGGATCTGAGGACACATGCCAAATCTTTTCAGTCTCCTGAGGGGGAATAGGCTTTGTCGTGCCCTCTTCACGACTGTCTTGGTGTGTTTGGACCATGATAGTTCGTTGGTGATGTGGACACCAAGGAACTTGAAGCTCTCAATCTGTTCCACTACAGCCCGTCGATGAGAATGGGGGCGTGCTCAGTCCTCTTTTTTTTCCTGTAGTCCACAATTATCTCCTTTGTCTTGGTCATGTTGAGGGAGAGGTTGTTATCCTGGCACCACACGGCCAGGTCTCTGACCTCCTCCCTATAGGCTGTCTCATCGTTGTCTGTGATCAGGCCTACCACTGTTGTGTCGTCGGCAAACTTAATGATGGTGTTGGAGTCGTGCCTGGCCATGCAGTCATGGGTAAACAGGGAGTACAGGAGGGGACTGAGCACGTACCCCTAAGGGGCCCCCGTGTTGAGGATCAGTGTGGCAGATGTGTTGTTACCTACCCTTACCACCTGGGGGCGGCCCGTCAGGAAGTCCAGGATCCAGTTGCAGAGGGAGGTGTTTAGTCCCAGGATCCTTAGCTTAGTGATGAGCTTTGAGGGCACTATGGTGTTGAATGCTGAGCTGTAGTCAATGAATAGCATTCTCACGTAGGTGTTCCTCTTGTCCAGGTGGGAAAGGGCAGTGTGGAGTGCAATAGAGATTGCATCATCTGTGGATCTGTTGGGGCGGTATGCAAATTTGAGTGGGTCTAGGGTTTCTGGGATAATGGTGTTGATGTGAGCCATGACCAGCCTTTCAAAGCACTTCATGGCTACAGACGTCAGTGCTACGGGTCGGTAGTCATTTAGGCAGGTTATCTTAGAGTCCTTGGGCACGGACTATGGTGGTCTGCTTGAAACATGTTGGTATTACAGACTCAGTCAGGGACATGTTGAAAATGTCAGTGAAGACACTTGCCAGTTGGTCAGCACATGCTCGGAGTACACGTCCTGGTAATCCGTCTGGCCCTGCGGCCTTGTGAATGTTGACCTGCTTAAAAGTCTTACTCACATCGGCTACGGAGAGCGTGATCACATAGTCATCCGGAACAGCTGGTGCTCTCATGCATGCTTCAGTGTTGCTTGCCTCGAAGTGAGCATAGAAGTGGTTTAGCTCGTCTGGTAGGCTTGTGTCACTGGGAAGCTCGCGGCTGTGCTTCCCTTTGTAGTCTGTAATCGTTTTCAAGCCCTGCCACATCCGACGAGCGTCAGAGCCGGTGTAGTACGATTCAATCTTAGTCCTGTATTGACTCTTTGCCTGTTTGATGGTTCGTCGGAGGGCATAGCGGGATTTCTTATAAGCGTCCGGGTTAGAGTCCCACTCCTTGAAAGCGGCAGCTCTACCCTTTAGCTCAGTGCAGATGTTTCCTGTAATCCATGGCTTCTGGTTGGGGTATGTACGTACGGTCACTGTGGGGACGACATCATCGATGCACTTATTGATGAAGCCAGTGACTGATGTGGTGTACTCCTCAATGCTATCTGAAGAATCCCGGAACATGTTCCAGTCTGTGCTAGCAAAACAGTCCTGTAGCTTAGCATCTGCGTCATCTGACCACTTTTTTATTAACCGGGTCACTGGTGCTTCCTGCTTTAGTTTTTGCTTATAAGCAGGATTCAGGAGGATAGAGTTATGGTCAGATTTGCCAAATGGAGGGCGAGGGAGAGCTTTGTATGCGTCTCTGTGTGTGGAGTAAAGGTGGTCTAGAATTTTTTTCCCCTCTGGTTGCACATTTAACATGCTGGTAGAAATTAGGTAGAACGGATTTAAGTTTCCCTGCATTAAAGTCCCCGGCCACTAGGAGCGCTGCTTCTGGATGAGCGTTTTCCTGTTGACTTATGGCCTTATACAGCTCATTCAGTGCAATCTTAATGCCAGCATTGGTTTGTGGTGGTAAATAGACAGCTATGAAAAATATAGATGAAAACTCTCTTGGTAAATAGTGTGGTCTACAGCTTATCATAAGATACTCTACCTCAGGCGAGCAAAACCTTGAGACTTCCTTAGTATTTGATTTTGTGCACCAGCCACCCCTTGTCTTACCGGAGTCAGCCGTTCTATCCTGCCGATGTAGCGTATAGCCCGCTAGCTGTATGTTATCCATGTCGTCGTTCAGCCACAACTCTCTCTACCTCTACCTCACTCTCTACCTCTACCTCTCTCTCTACCTCTACCTCTCTCTCTTCCTCTACCTCTCTCTCTGCCTCTACCTCTCTCTCTGCCTCTACCTCTCTCTCTGCCTCTACCTCTCTCTCTACCTCTACCTCACTCTCTACCTCTACCTCTCTCTCTACCTCGACCTCTCTCTCTACCTCTACCTCTCTCTCTACCTCTACCTCTCTCTCTACCTCTACCTCTCTCTCTACCTCTACCTCTCTCTCTGCCTCTTCCTCTCTCTCTACCTCTACCTCTCTCTGTCTCTTCCTAAACACTGCTAACTTTCCACCCAAGGAGATTTCAGCTGCACTGCTGTCCAGTGTTTCTCCAGAAACCTCAACCGGAATGTTTAGGACAGATGAACCAACATTATGTTCCAAAAGCAGGCTCCCAGAAGTAATCCAGAGCAGTGGCGGCTCCTGAAAAAATTCTCAGGAGGGGCAATTTTTCTGATGATTTAGGTGACCTACACACATTTTTAAAAAGATATGTCCAGCAACAACATGAAGACAGGGGCAGCATATAAGTCAATACCAGAAGCATTTATTGACTGATCTGGGGAGATGGATTCCAGTTTCTGTGACAGATTATAAATAATCTCTGATGCCTTTGTTATATTAGCTTTTGGTTGAATGTACTGTCGTAGTAAATATATAATGTTATAGCTTGGTCTGACTAAAATCTTGTGCATGACCCATTTTGTGTTGGGCGTTTGTTTTCAATCAATGCTGTTCCTATCCTATAACAATGGACAAAAGAGTCCTATCTTGTCAGCCTTGTCAGCAGGTGGCCAAGGACAACACCCACGCCATAGGTCTCTCAGTTCTTCCAACTCACGAGTTCTTGCTCTGAGGACACACACACACACACACACACACACACATCATCACTGATAACACACACACACACACACATCATCACTGTTAAACACACACACACACACACACACAAAAATCCCCTCTCTTTAGGCTGAACATTTGAAGACAGAGAACCCGACTCAGAGCCAATGCAACAGGGGAGGGGACCTCGCCCAACTCATCAGGACCAATCAGAAGATCAGAACTACTAGATTCAACCTACATCATTTATTGTATAAAATGTCTGCACACAATGTTTTCGGGGCTCTCTTCTCCCTAAGAGTTTGACGAACGAGTCCGTGCACGCGATTCCAGATATCTTTACCTCTGAATAAACTGCCTTTATTATACCATATCCACCCTGTCCAAAGTCTCTACTTGGTCTCAGTTCTCCAGTAAACTTGTGATTATCAACAGTACACAACGGTAACAAACAACTGGGGGAACTCACGGGGCAGATAGTAAGGTCGCAATGACACAGAAAGCAGTTCAATGTCGGGGTACAGAGTCGCTCTCTTACCAGGATCGCGGTCCGCTCTGACCAGGGTGAAGCCGGCCGGCTCCACTTCTCTGTCCGGGACTCTGTCATCCAGCCAAGTCTCCCAGCTGTATTGGGATTCCGCTGCCAGCAGCGTTTTCATTATTTAGTCCGTTCGTAGCGGGTATGTACACGATCAACAAGATCAGTCCAAAACCAACCACTGGAAATCCATGGTTGGCAGAATGTTTGTAAACTAAGTCTACAAATTAAAAACATAAAATAACGCCACACTGCAGGTCGCAACAGAGACGCTGCTAGCCGCTATTGTCTTAGTTACGTTCATGGTTACGTCACGTATGACGAAAGCGCGTAAGTGCAAGCCCACAGACACCCATAGAGAATGTATTGAAAGCTTTGAAATTTGAAAAAAATAGATTTTACATGACAGGCTATGAGAGACTTCTGGGCGATTTTCAACTTGACTGAAATCGCCCCAAAAACGGGCGGGGCCATTTGAAGCACGACTTTAGCCTGATTTGACATTTAGTGGCTGGCAGATCAGACGTGAACACTGATAACTACTGTTGCCGTGATATAATTGATTAGAAAAAAAATCCCTTCCTTTTCCCGTTTGGCAGTGCGTCGCCCATATCGCCCTATTGAACAGGCCGTCCCTGATCCAGAGTATTTAAGTGTCTAGGTCAGCTCTAGAGGTGCTCAGAAGCTGCTCAAAAGGTGTCCTTTGTGTCTCTTTTAATAAGCAAACAGCAGTACGTATCAGGTTTCTTTTTTCGTTTATTTTCACTTCTCGGGCAAAAGATAAACTCCAGTGGCGCCGTCACAAAGAGTTTTAAGTGGCTCCACTCTTTGCTATGAATACCAGTGGAAATGTTTGTAATGTCAGTAAGGTGCAAGGTTATCACTTCGTGCTGTGACACTGATGTTGACACCCATTACTGTATGTGTGTGTATTAATAGTTCTATCCATGGGAAAAAACTGCAGTGTTCTTCCTGTAGTTTGCAGCAACAGTACAGCCCTTGAACACTCTGAAATGGCACCCTATTCACTATATAGTGCACTACATTTGACCAGGCCCTATAGGGCTCTAGTCAAAAGTAGTGCACTATATACATAATAGGGTGCCAAAAGTAGTGCACTATAAAGGGATTATAGGGTGTCATTTGCAAAAGTCCCTCTGCAGACTTTGAAATGCTAATCAAAAGTGTATGTGTGTTGGGTCTGTTTGCAGGTGAATATGACATCAGATTTGGAGGGCAGCGACATGCTGGCGGAGAAGGCAGACCGTAGAGAGTTCATCGACTTGTTGACCAAGATGCTTACGATCGACGCGGACAAACGGATCACCCCCATCGAGACCCTCAATCACCCCTTCGTAACCATGACCCACCTCCTCGACTTCCCCCACAGCACACAGTACGTCTAGAGATCCTCTCACATTTCTCATTTAGATAGTTAACTGTTAGCTGGGAGGAACAGATTATCTGGAGAAAGTCATAACAGATAAAAATGTAACAGAGGCACATGTATCTCTCTCCCTCCCCCTCCCTCTCTTCACAGTGTCAAGTCCTGCTTCCAGAACATGGACATCTGTAAGCATCGCATGGGCATGTACGACACGGTCAACCAGAGCAAGACCCCTTTCATCACCCACGTGGCCCCCAGCACCTCTACCAACCTCACCATGACCTTCAACAACCAGCTCAACACTGTGCACAGCCAGGTACCTACCATACACAGTGTGGATGGTTTTACTCAACACACTCCTCTCCATTCATACCCAGGTCGTACCAGCATAGTGTACTGTCTGCAGTGCTGTGACCAGCACTATCCTTAACCAGGTCATGTAATAAGCTTTTTCAGTGCTAGATTCAGATCAGTGTGTAGCGTGTGTACCACTACCAGTGTGTAATACAACCACTAGATGGCTTGGTTAGTGTGTTTATTCAGGCCAACACGGCACACAGCACAGTACACCCAATCAGCCCACATCACTTTTTTTGAAAGTAATGCAAGTTAACTCTCCCTAGTAGAATGCTAAAGCATCATATTGAGGCCACGACAGCCTGGTAAGGTATCTGTCTGTCTGTCTGTGCCTCAGGCCCAGTGGGGGCTGTCACAAACTGCTGATGAGATACATGACAACCTTACACTTCCTGCTTGCCTTGCAGTTTAGGCTACCAGCAGGCTTCCTCCTCTTCCTCTCCTCCTCCTGTTTCTCTCCATTTTGCCTTTGGTGCTTTAGCACGTCATGCTACTGTAGGGCTGTGTGGGCTGACTGTGACGCTAAATTGCTGACTTTTGCTTCTGCCGGAATCATGAAATGATTGCATGCTAAAGTTTTTCAGATTGTGCAGAATTATTTCTATACATTTGTCCCCCTATCCTACCATCCCTACCCTAATTGGAGTAAACTAACGAACAACAATATTTCTACTGCTACTTACAGCTATTTCGCTAACATCTACAGTACCTGTAGTTAAATAATTGTACATAAATGATATTCCTCTTTCTTCAAGTGCTGGAGTTTCAGCCACAGCGGCCAATGTCCACAGATGAACCCGTCTTTCCCAGTATAATACCATTTTGTTATTTCCTTTTGCAATACATCCCTCCATTTTACTGTGGTGTTACAAATAGGGAGGTCCTGAATTTCCCTAGTTTTAACATTTCTACTGACATTTTACAAATAGGTGTTCTTTATCACCAAACATACTATATTGACTGTTACAGAACCCACTCTGTGCAGAATGAGGTAAAACTAGACTTCACTATATGATTTAAATGGATTCATGTCATTTTTTCTACTTCGTCCTCCGAGTGCCGTGGTTCAGGGTGATATAGGCAGTGCTAAGTTAGTGATTTATTTAGCTGGGGAACATTGAAACATCTTAGAGTTTATTTTTTGCAGGCTCTCTCGTTGTTGTGCATGATGAATGCCACACTGGCATATTGATTATCTCCCCCGGTGCTCATCGAGCTTGCTAAGAAGTGCAAAATGAAAAATGAACATGCCGTCTCTGAATTTTCAACTCCACAGGCTTAATGAAAAGACAGTAATTAGTCTGGGTGATGTCGAACAAATGGTATTTGAGTTAAGACCTGAGCGCACTGCGTGTCTTTAAAAGCATTTGTTCATATCAAGGCCATCTTTAAGCCTTACTTAGGGCTCATTGATGGTCTCCCCATGTCCAGGGTGGAATTCTTGAGGCACCAAACGGAAGAAAATGGACTGAAACCGGGAGGGACTACATAAACTTATCCAACAAGAACATTCGTTTGCAACGGTGTACCCTAATAGATACGGCCCAGGTTTTACAACATACATTTCAAGTGCCTGACACCTTAGAAATATGGCTGCTCAAGGATAGCAATGTGGAGTCAAGATAGTGAAGCCGAGAGACAAAATGTCAGTTTGCCCCGTAACTACTCTGCTCATTATTAGACTTTGTTAAGCAACATTTCAATTTTAAGAGCATTGCATAAGCTTGATTCTTTCACTTAGGAATCCAGTTGGCTCTCTCCATGTTGACCCTCCTCATAGATAATTGCTTGTCTTGAGTACTGGGTCCAGGATGATTTGGATGCGTTGAGACATATTGTTGTGTAGCTAGAGAGAAGACAAAGACACTCGTCTCCATATCACCCTTTCATCTAACCTTACCAGGGCCCATGTTCACAAAGTGTCTGGGAGTGCTGATCTGGGATCAGTTTTGTCTTTTATATCATAATGAATAAGATTATATGGGCAGGGAGGACCTGGTCGTAGATCAGCACTCTCTCAGTGCTACATTAAAGCCTCTGGGTGTGTGTGTGTGTGTGGATTTAGCTGTGTACAAATAACTTATAGACAGAATCTATTCTGACATGCATACATGTAGTGGCTCTAACAGTGTATGCAGTATGGACAAACTGAGCCCCTGTGGCTCAATGTACTGTTTATGTAATTATAGCTCCTTGAATTAATAGCTTGTTGATTGAAGTTAATTTTAACATTGATTGTTGACTATTGGGCGAAGTTCTAGCATTGATCAGCACTTTTCTCTCTCTTTCCATCACATTCTGCCTTTCTCTCAGTGCTCTCACTCTGTTCACTGAAATGCAGTATCTACAGTACATTAAAGCTGTTGGACATAATCTGAGAAATATGACACTAATATTTATAATATTCTGAGGGAAATTACAATGGCCTAATTTTGTCCTCAGTTTGAATTTATTCTGAATGTTCCATATAGTCATCTAACACATTATCAAAAAATGACTGACAACGTTATTTTCTGATGAATGATTAAATCTCGTCCCCCAACAACCCTCATGACCTTTTGACCATACCACCACCACCCGACATCTCCTTATGGCTTTGCGTTTTGATCCCATCATTCCTTTAGGCCACCAACCTGGCTCCCTCCACCACCAGTACCACCCTTTCCCTTGGCAACTCCGATGTCTCCATACTAAACTACCGAGCTGCACTCTACCAGCCCTCCACAGCCTCCATGGCTGCCGTGGCACAGAGGAGCATGCCCCTGCATCCTGTGGCCCCTCAGCTCTGTGCTGCCCGGCCTGACCCCTTCCAGCAGGCCCTCATCGTCTGCCCACCTGGCTTCCAAGGTAAGAGGCTTTAGATTAACACAGTGAATGCTGTGTAACAAGGCCACAGATCTAGAATCAGATTACTCTATCCCCGAACTTAACCATTAGGGAGGGGGGAGGGGGGGGGGGGGTGAACAAATATCTGATTCTGTATCAGTGGTAAGGCGTCCGTAAAGAGTGATTATTTCATGCCATCTTGGAACAGGTTTACTTTGAAAAATATCAGAAAGATTACAGATTGCAACGGGATCACCTGTATACATAAATGCTAAATGAGTTAATTAAAAAGAGCACCTATAGGCCTTTCTATAGTCAGGTCTAAGGCTCAGTCAGTTTCAGTAGAGTAGATCAGCACTGTCTGGCACCAGCGAGTTCAGTTTTCTCCTGATGAGAGAAGGGCTTATGAATTTGTGAGCTGGAACTGCACTACAATGACTCTGCAAGCCTTTTGTTCTGTAGCTTCCACTGACCCCCCAAGGCAACGACAGTCTTCATGTTCAAAACGAGATGCTACGATATGTTTATGAGCTAATTAGTCATATGAAAGGATTTTAATATCTGTGATTTGATGCATTTTGCAGCACCACTTTTGTCTAATCTCTGTTTATGCGGTTAAGACTGAAATAAACATTATTTTTGTGTGATTTATGTGGAACAGCATATAATAATTTCCATTATTAGACAGTTTGCTCCACTCAACCAAGGGTTTATTGGGATGTAATTTATATTGCCATGACTACCTTTTTGTTTTCAAGTTGAATCAGTAATTGAGAGCAGTATCATTATAAACTGTTATAGTTTTTTTCCTATAGCAATTTTGACATCATTGTTTCTCCCAAGGTGCAGGCCTTTTTGTGTGGCACATAGTGTTGTTGTTGTTGTTGTTGTAGTTGTTGTAGTTGTTGTTGACCTCCTCTGTGTTGTGTGTGTTCTCAGGTCTACAGGCATCTCCGTCCAAACACACGGGCTACTCTGTACGGATGGACAACGCCGTTCCCATAGTGACGCAGGCCCCCGGTGCCCAGCCCCTGCAGATCCAGCCAGGCCTGTTGACACAGGTAGGAAGTAGTGACTCAGTCCTTCGTCATGGAGATCAGGGGGCCCACATATATCCCTCCTGAACTCATAATGATAGCTCATCTTTGTTTCGCTGGATCATAATACACAGAACCTATTCTATTTACTGGGAGACATTCATACCTAAACACACATATGGCTATGACTAACAGGGTATTTTGTATGATTTGGTCATGGAAGCTACTTTGGAAAAGGTTGTACCTATGTATCCTTTTCTATATCATTGTAACAGGCTAGCCTTTGATCAAGGCAGGGAGTCAATCAGGGTGTTCTTGTGATCATTCTGCCCCTGCAGGCACTTGTTTTGACTGAGTGAGTTAAACCATGGTTCCAGTGTCCTCCCTCCCTCCTTTGAAATAACATAGCCATGCATTATTCCTACAGTATAGTAGAGCATTAAAGTAGAGTAGTAGAGTAGTAGACCACCTCTTCCTCTGGTTTCTAGACATTTCCATAAGACCTTTAATATCCCTGTAAAGTCCCAGGAGTCAGAAGGCTTCCCTTATCTATCGTTAATCATGTGGTAGGCAGCTAGCAAGGCTCTCTGAACTGTGAGGAAGACTAATCTGTCAGATACCGAATGGTGATTAGCTTCAGGGCTGCTTTCTCAGTCAGGCGCTCTGAAATGACAGGACTCAGAGGAGAAGGACAGGTTTGGAAAGGCTTGGAGGGGTTTGAGGGGTTTGCTCGCCTCCAAAAGGCTACAAGGTCACCCTATGCCCTATAGCATTTACTGTATAGCATAAATGCAGTACTTCAGAAAAACTGTCTCAACAGAAGCTTTCACAAAATAGTTCACAGTATATTAAGAATGCCACAGTGCAAAGCCCCAAGTAAAGGTATGATGGTGGAACAAGCCAATATAATGAAAATGTTACAGTTCATGAACCAAAGAGTATATTGTGCAAGTATCATCCTATTACTGTGTCATGCTCTACTGACATACTGTATCTTGGCAGATTTGATTAATTAAAGAAAATCCTCTGTCACACTGCACACATATTAAACACAGGGATGGTGTAGTTGATCATGTGGTTTATTCAGAGCAGCAGCACACCCAATAAATTGATGTAGTGGATTTGAATCCCTCATTCCCTCTGGGAGGTCTCTAATGCGTGTTGGGGGCTTTAGCCTCCAGGCCTCTCTGCAGCCGCAGCCCACCCTCGACGCAGGCTGGGCTCACTTTCCCTGGGTGTCTGTAGAGCAGAGCTGGGGCTGGATGGTGTTGGTTGTGGAGGAGGGCCCCAGTTAGCCAGTCCCGGCAGCCAGGCAGCCAGGCAAGACCTTTATCTGGAGCAGGAATGCAGAAATTTGGAAACAATTGGGGAGTGAGAGCCGGGGCTTTCAGAGCCCTGAGGTGACAAAGGGTTTTCACCCGGGGAGAAGAGGTTGGCAGTGGGAGGCGGGGAGCTAGCTAGTGCCTCTGCTGCTGGGGCAATGGGTCCTGAGAAGAAAAGAAAAACCGGGCTACCATTTCAGAGCAGACAGGCCTATTACACAACACAGACGTCCGGCGAGAGAGGAATGCAGAGTGCCAGGAATGGATGGAGCAGGATGTTTGGAGAGATAGATGGAGGAGAGGAAGAGATAGAAGTATTGGTGGCTCTTAATGGTTTTGGCGTGTTGATAAAAAGACCTGAGATGTGAATATAACCATGGGAGATGTAAAAGGAAGTGGCTTAGGTTGTCTTCTTTTGGACAGTTTTCATGCCTTGCTATTGGCGGTGCCTGTGTCCTTTATCCATCCACTGCCCAGTCTTGTTTTGTTGACCTGTAGATGCCTCTCTTCACCCATTGACTGTTTTTATTTGAAGTTAATTATCTCTCCCAACGTACCTCAGACAAAACAATTCCACTCCCACAAGCTAGCGGTCATACACTGTTATAAACCCTACAAGCGTTTTATATCAGTAGAGTATAACAGGTACATTGTGCCGACAAAACCAGAAGAAAACATCTTGATATGTAGGCTTTGTACTCTGTATGAGCCCAGCGCAGATGTAGGCCTAAGCATTGAGTTCTGTGCTATGTGCTGCAACACATACTGACACTGCCGAAGTAAATAGAATATGCAAACGCTATTAAAGGAAAAATTAATTATACCCCACATTAAAGTGCTAATCAATAGAGCTGCATTAAGCTATTAGGGCTGCAAGCAGACACACACACACACACACATACACACACACACACACACACACACACACACACACACAGACACACACACAGACACACAGACACACAGACACATCTTTGACTCTGGGAATATTATGCCTGCCAACTCCCTGCATTCTGCACCAGCAATACAAAGCAGCTCCTTTCACAGCAGCCCTGAATGGGCCTCGATGTGAATTTAATTAAAACCGGAGCTGATTTGGATAATGCCAAACACATCAGCGCAGGGACCAGGAGGGGAGAGGCAACATATCTTTACTACACATCCAAAGTATTCCCAGCAAACTGGGAACATTCCTAGAACATTAACTAAGATTCCCATTAAAGGTTCTAGTTAGGGTTTTATCTAACATTAGGATGATAACATCCCAAAAACATTCCAAGAACATTCCACAATGATCCCACAACATAAAGAAACATTCTGGGAACCTTTAAAGAAGAGACTAAATGTGTTCTGGGAACATTCTGGTAACATCAGTTGTAGCTCAGTTGGTAGAGCATGGCGCTTGCAACGCCAGGGTTGTGGGTTCGATTCCCACGAGGGGCCAGTATGAAAAAAAAAATGTATGCACTCACTAACTGTAAGTCGCTCTGGATAAGAGCGTCTGCTAAAATGACTAAAAAATAAATATAAATTAAAAAAATTTGCACCCTAAAAGAATCATTGTAGAATCATCTGCACAACTGGACAGTTTTTGTGTTTTGGGATCATATATTTTGAGATGTCCCCACAATGTTCCCACCAGACTGTTCCCACAACCTAATGAAACATTCTGGGAACATTTAAAGAACAGATTAAATGTGTTCTAGGAACGTTCTTGCATCATCAGGTGAATGTTTTATACAAACGTTCTATAATAATCAGCACGACTGGACAGGTTTTGTGTTATGAGAACATTTGCCACGACCTAACAAATGTTCTGGGAACATTCACAAAACCAATTTTGGTTTGCTGGGTTATCTGTGCTCTGTTGATTTGTGCTGCTGGCAAGGCCAGATAGTTCAGCTGGCTTTGTCTAACTAGCCTACAGTAACACTGGCCAGTTGTTCTGCTTGTAACTGCAATCCATTGGCTGTTTTGTGTTTTTACAAGGATTCCTTAACTTTTGTTACACTTTCAATTATTTCCCCTTGTTCCCCCATGCCTTCATCTCTGGAATTAAAACAATGAGAGATACAAAAACAACACCTATTTTTTTGAGGTAGTCTTCTTTGTCGACATTAAAGTGTACCTCGCATGATTGACGTGCAAGGTTGTTAGATGACAGATGATCCCATAGAGATACAATAGAAATACTATATAATATAAATAGTGTTGTATTTAATTCTGACTGACCACTTCTCCTCCATCTCCTCTTTTTCTCTCCCCCCAGCAGGCCTGGCCCAATGGCACCCAGCAGATCCTCCTCCCACCAGCCTGGCAGCAGCTCACCCACACCTCAGTCCAGCACGCCACCGTCATCCCTGACTCCATGACGGCCTCCCAGCCCCTGGCTAACTGGAGGTAAGGAACATGATCTCCTCCTTATGTAACCAGAGTCTTATAAGCACTACCATAACAAATCAAATCCTAAAGGACCAGAGAAGACATTAAAGATTAGACTTGGTCAAACGTACCAACTTTGTACAGTATAAGCCTGGAATATCTAGCTATATGTGTAGCCAAATGACAGTTTCATTGTAGCCTGCAAACCAATTTGATATGCTCCGTTTCACCATGATTAACAGAGTGTATCACTTAACATTCCAGGCTAGTTTCATTGGCCAACTGTGCATAAAGTCCTGGTTAACAGGGGAAGTTTGGATGTATACAAAGTGCAGAAAGGATCAGCACAGCAGTGTCCTGATTGACAGAAGAGCATGGCCTTGTGACAGGCACTCAGAGGGCTGCCATGAATCAGTGTCTACAAGTGAACAGCGGGGCTTTTATAAGATATTTTAGGGGGATGAGATGTATGCACATGTAAGGACATCATCCCAGGCACGGCGTGTCACAATGTTGACATGTTAGATGGATGGGGCCTGTAGGAAGATAAGCTGGATGCAGGTGTGTGTGTCTGCATGCGAGCATCCAGGTTAATCTCTCTCTCGCTCTCGCTCTCTCTCTCTCTCGCTCTCTCTCTCTCTCTCTCTCTCTCTCTCTCTCTCTCTCTCTCTCTCTCTCTCTCTCTCTCTCTCTCTCTCTCTCTCTCTCTCTCTCTCTCTCTCTCTCTCTCTCTCTCTCTCCCTACAAAGATGATTGGGAAAGTGTCGCACTTCCTCTGCAGAACTATCCCTCTACAGCTGCTGGTGTCAGCTGCCCTCCCTCGCTCCCGCACTCTGTATTCCCCTCGCTCTCTTTTCTCCCCTCTGTCTCACGTGGTGATTGCTGCCACCCACGGCCTCCTCTGAGAAATACACATGCTTTGTCTAAACTCTAGTCCCTTATGTAAAGCAGTATGTACTCATGTGCAGTTATAGATATGTAGTTAGACATGAAAATGGGGCAAGGTCACAATGACGGTTTCTCTAGATATAATAATAATATTTAAACTTAAATATACACATAAAATACAGGTTCAGAGTAGTGATGGGACATTCTGTTGTGTTCCAGGAATTCTCACCCACACGGCGGCCATTACAATCCCATCATGCAACAGCCGGCGCTGCTGGCTGGCCACGTCACCCTCCCATCCAACCACAACCAGCCTCTCAATGTGGGCGTGGCCCATGTGATGAGGCAACCGTCAACCAATAACAACAACTCCTCTTCCAAAAAGAACAAGCAGCATAAGATGACTGCCAGGTAAGCATAACTAGGACCTCCTACATAACTAGGACCTCCTACACAACTAGGACCTCCTACACAACTAGGACCTCCTACACAACTAGGACCTCCTACACAACTAGGACCTCCTACACAACTACGACCTCCTATACAACTAGGATCTCTTTAGATCTGAACACAAAACAATCAGTGACTGACCATCACCTACAGTCCCCCTGTCTTTCCTGATTCACTGTGAAGATTATTTGGCACTGGCGGCTTTCAACCTTCAACCAATCAGAACACAATAGCCAGCTCGAAGTCGAAAGTGAAACATAAAAAATGCAAATAATCTGTCAGCTGTTACCTGGGCAGTGTCTGTCTTCGGTATTATTACTCTGTATGTAGTAGTAGGTGCCACCTAGTATTAGGTTGTAGTAGTAGGTGCCACCTCATCCCCCTCTCCTCTCTCTCCCGTCAGGAATGTGTCTGCGTACGAGGTGTCCTCCTCCCAGGCGGTACTATCACCACAGCGCTCCAAGCGGGTGAAGGAGAACACCCCTCCACGTTGTGCTGTGCTTCAGAACAATGGCCCTTCCTCCGGCTCCAGCTGCGGACCCCCCCTGGGCTGTGGAGGGTGGGGACGGGGCGAGGCAGAGCAGGCCTCCAGCACCACCCGGGACCACCACCAGCACCACAACGGGCAGCGTCAGACCATCATCATCCCTGATACGCCCAGCCCTGCCGTCAGCATCATCACTATCAGCAGTGACACGGACGAGGAGGATGATCACAATCAGAGCAACACCAACCATACCAGGTACAGGTCAGCCATTTGGGGTCAGACATGACACACATGCAGGGTTCTGGGAGCCAGGGTTAAGTACATACATTTACATTTACGTCATTTAGCAGACGCTCTTATCCAGAGTGACTTACAAACTTACAAACTACAAACAAACTTACGTGACAGGAGGCCATGTTTAGTGCCTGTTTAGTTTCATTACTGAAAGAGCAGGGTTTCATTTCTTTTCAGTTCCAGCCAATTCAGTAATACGATTGGACATGATTGGCATAAGGGCATTTTTTTGTGGATTGATCTGAATTCACTATATATTATGGAATCGACACCAACATTGGTCAGAAGGTTAGTAGGCTGATCAATGCTATATGTACCATTACTAAAAAGTGATCCTCCTCCTTGCAGCTCATCCAAGCAGAGGAAGAACATCATCAGCTGTGTCACAGTACACGACTCCCCCGACTCGGACTCATCCAGTAACAACAGTCCCTATGCAGTAGAGTCCAGGCTGCCCAACAACAACGGCTACCATGACTCCAAGACCACCCTACTGGACAACTACAGCAACGGAAACAACCTTCGCTCCATCATCATTCCCCCTCTGAAGAGCCAGTCCAGCGAGGTGCTGAGCGAGTGTGAGCGCCTGATACCAGGTACCTACACAGGTATCTACACAGGTACTTACAGAGATCCACACACCCACTTAGACAGGGAGGGATGGTTGATACTCTTTCATCTAGAGTATAGGAAATACTATTATCATTATTTGAAACACATTGTTACAAATGTACCCATTATTATCATTGTTGGTTCTCCAAATGAACCTTCGCTAAGCCCTGCCCCATTGGTTACTGTTGCTACCTCGGTTCCCAATTATTTATTTTTTGCATATTTATACTGTAATGTGTTATTATTTTCTTGACCTGGATTGACCTTGTTCCCTTTACTCTGCAGATGCAATGAATCATCAGAATTCGGCGTACAAGTTCAAAACCTCCAACGGCGTGGGCATGGTGTCTGGCAACAACCACCTGTCGGGGGGTGTGGCTTACCGACAGCAGCGCTCGGGGCCACACCCCTTCCAGCAGCAGCAGCCTCTCAATCTCAGCCAGGTATGGAGAGAGAGCCAAGTAAGGACCCATCTAAATGATTTATATAATTATCAATCAATCAATCACATTTATTTATAAAACCCTTTTTACATCAGCAGATGTCACAAAGTACTATACAGAAACCCTGCCTAAAACCCCATACAGTAAGCAATGCAGATGTAGAAGCACGGTGGCTAGGAAAAACTCCCTAGAAAGGCAGGAACCTAGGAAGAAACCTAGAGAGGAACCAGGCTCTGAGGGGTGGCCAGTCCACTTCTGGTTGTGCCAGGTGGAGATAATAAGAGTAAATGGCCATTAAGGCCAGATTGTTCTTCAAGACGTTCAAAGGTACATAGATGACCAGCAGGGTCAAAAAATAATCTCAGTGGTTGTTGAGGGTGCAACAGGTCAGGACCTCAGGAGTAAATGTCAGTTGGCTTTTCATAGCCGAGCATTCAGAGGTCGAGACATTAGGTGCGTTAGAGAGAGATAGAGTCGAAAACAGCAGGGTAGCACGTCCGGTGAACAGGTCAGGGTTCCATAGCCGCAGGCAGAAGAGTTGAAACTGGAGCAGCAGCACAGCCAGGTGGACTGGGGACAGCAAGGAGGCATCAGGCCAGGTAGTCCTGAGGCATGGTCCTAGGGCTCAGGTCCTCCGGGAGGGGAGGGAGAGAGAGAGATAATTAGAGGGAGCATACTTAAATTCACACATGACACCAGATAAGACAGGAGAATTACACCAGATATAACAGACTGACCCTAGCCCCCCGGCACATAGACTATTGCAGCATAGATTAACTGTGTGGAAAGTGAGACTGGCATTTGGATTTCACTGACTCCATCCTCGTATCTCTCTTCTCTCCTCTCCAGGCCCAGCAGCACATGGTAACTGAGCGGAACGGAGGCCACCGGCGCCAGCAGGCTTACATCACCCCAACCATCGGCGCCCAGGCGCCCTACTCCTTCCACCACCACAACAGCCCTTCTCACACTGCCAACGTGCACACCCACCTGTCTGCCACCCACCTGTCTGCCACCCACCTGGCTGCCACCCACCTGGCTGCCACCCACCTGCCCGGCCAGCCCCACCTCTACACCTACACCACCACGCCCGCAGCCCTGGGCTCCACGGGCACTGTGGCCCACCTGGTGGCAACCCCGGGCTCTGCCCGCCACACGGTCCAGCACACCACCTACCACACACCGGGCATCGTTCACCAGGTGCCCGTCAGCATGGGGCACCATGTGCTGCCCTCGCCCACCCTCCACCACAGCCAGTACCAGGCTCAGTTTGCTCACCAGACATACATCAGCGCCTCGCCTGCCTCCACAGTCTACACTGGATACCCGCTGAGCCCTACCAAGGTGAACCAGTACCCTTACCTCTAGAGAAAAGCCAACACACTGGAGACCCAGACCCCCCCAGATCCAGACCCCAGCAATGATGCTGCTGCTGCTCAATCCATGTCCTCCCTCCCTATCCCCACTCCACAGACAGAGAGATAGAGAGAGAGACATGCAATCTTTAAAAAACTGTCACGTTTACTTGAAGACATAACGACAGAGGAGAAAGGTAAATAAATAGACAGCCCCTCTAGTAAGAGAAAGGACAGGTGGAATATATATTATTCTTTTTCTTTTCATCATTTTTTCTCTCCAAAAGGGCCAGTTTTGCTTTGTTTTCTCTCTTTCAAATGAGAGTAATTTCTCGTAATTTTACAGCAATGTCTTCATAAAGGGCCTTTGGGAGAGATGGAGGGTTTTTGTTCTTCTAAAACAGCGTTTTGTTTGTTTTGGTTTTCCCCTCTTGAATTGGAAAGGGACTGTTTTAACAAGGGGTCCCTCTCTTGATGTTGGAATTCTCAACGTAAGAATTCCCATGAGAATTCCCATGAGGATTTGGGAATGAAGGTGAAATACGGAAACCTGCTGCTCTTCAAAGAATACAAAAAATAATGATGGCCTTGAACTGTCTTAAACATTTCCAAATAATTAAATGTGTGGGGGAGAGAGAACAAAGCACCCCTCCTTCTCCAACAGACAACTGGAGTCAGGAGTCTTCTGGAAATATAACCAACGAAAGACAAAAAATCGTTCTAGTCTATTAATAGGTATTTTCCCTTTGTTTTTTAGTTCTCGCCTTTTTGAGGAGACTTATGTTTTAGGTATAGGAGTCTTAGCTGGGCCACGTTTTTAGAATGTAGCAGTCTGCACCCATATTATTTTATGAATAACTTTTTCTGATACCAATAGAATTTATTTGTTCCTCTTTTTCCAATGTGATTGCACAAAGTGGTTATAATAACATAGGCATGTACAACGTGATTGTCTGTGTGTGCGTGTGCTACTGTCAGCCATGTGTGTGTAGTCCACCTCTTGCACCTTTGTGCTATAATACTCGGAATCCTACGCAGTCTTAGGTTTGACCATTGTTCCCTCGTAGTGCCTTACAGATATAACGACACAGTTTACTTCGCTGGAACCTTGAGAACCAACAGACTAGCTGGAACTGGTTCCTTTCATTGATGTCTTATTGTCGGGGCAGATTTGATTTATCTTCCAGGTGTAGGCTTAGCCCCTAGCTCTGTGTCCTATCCTTATGACAGTATACTACAGAGATAAGAGGTCAGAGTTCATATTTACTTGACCTTTGGCTTTTTTGTTAAGTGTACATGAGTTTAACTTGCCTGGGGTACTGAACCAAAGTCGTTAGATCAATCCTCTTGACATTGTGTGCTGGATATAAATGTTAATTTGTGTTCAGTATAACTGTAAGTCACCGTGGTGCACATACATACAATGGCTTTAGTTTGAGATGTATCACACAAGGGAATCTGTACAGGAAAAATAGAACAGAGAAGTATCAGCACAAGGATCCATTTAGGGGAAACAGACAATGCAAAAATACAAGAAAGTGACTGTCAAAAACATTTTATGTGATTTCAAGTGACAGAGTCCAGAGTTCGAGAAAAAATAGGAATCTAAGGTTAAAAGCTAAGCCAATAGAAAGGCCTGATGGGAAGTGGTGGTTGCTATGGCGGTGATCCTCAGAAGGCCACCGAGAAAGAGCCTGGTTGTTTCATTAGGGAAGCAGAGTATTGAGGGCTGCTGAGAGAGGTTGCTGGCTAGGAGTCAGACCTGGGTTCAAATACTATTTGAAATCTTTTAAATAACTATAATGTTTGTTTTAGCCTGCCTGCAGTGCCAGATGGGCGGGGTTTGCAGTTTTTCAACTATTGCATTGCGCCAGGCAAACTCTGTCAAGCCCAGCTAAAGTATTTGAAATGATTTAAAATAGTATTTAAACCCAGATCTGGCGGGAGTGAGTGAGTGAGTGAGTAAGGGGCTAGTAGAAAGCATTTGGTTGGTCTGGATAAGAACTGAGGATGGCAGAGTGGTAGGGGTGGCTTTCCTCATGTAAATGGGTCTAAAAGAATAGCATGTTGGCACGGAGCAGGTTGGTAGTAACAGTGACAGTGGGCAGGAGTTACAGGGGCAATGCATGAATGCACACCTAACTCTGATACAAGTTGTTGTGTTGTTGTTGTGGTCTTGCAAAGATAAATGGAAGTTATTTAGTCATTTCTGCTCTGATGGTTGTGTAGCACCTCACAGCATAGAGAGAGATGTGAACGGAACAGAAATGCTACTGCGTACACCTGGAAGGGCTTACTATGAAATGGGCTTCATTTGTTGACACTTTATCCATTTTGTCTTCGGAATCATGTGTTCACAGACATCATACCACCAGAAAGGGATACCTGATAGTAAGAGAACTGATTGGGCTATTGCTTCTATGTGTTTGCTGCTTAATTGAATATCAGTTTTATTTCTAGTAGCCAATGATATATGATTACTCTGTTTGTTGTAGTGTCCTCATGAAGTAGGCACATCAGAACTGCTTGTGGTTTTAGCGAGAGCCTTCCCCCTTATCCCCTCATGTCATGCCATAGTACTTCATTTGAAGTGATTCTTTTATTTTAACGTTATTATTGAACTTTTAAAATGGCTGTAGGTACAGAATATACTGTATTGTGTTATTTTACAGATTGTTGCAATAATTCTCGTGGATGTTTTTATCAGTGCAAGTGATTTGTTATTAGGCTCATTTCTATTTTGATTTGTAACCGGGAGTTGCTGTACAGTGATGTTATGTATTCATAGGGGGAGGGGGTGTATACCTGTGCAAAGTGTTCAGGCACAGTTGACAATATTAAGGTTATAAAGTTGACAATAATCCATTTGAGCCCTTATAGGTAGGTAGCTTAGACTTGAGTGTGTCAGACCCAGGTTTGCTCCCTAAACTAAACCTAAAACATCAACATTTAGGTACTTCACCAATACGCCACCACACTCCCTCCAACCGGCTCCACCATGCAAGCCTTGGGTTCCTGGCAGTCAAAGATGTGATGCGTAACATGTATAGGTTGCTGGTTATATCATTTTCTTTCTGTTCTGTGGTGTATCCTTGTTGGTACTTTTTTGTTGATTTCCATGAGGCCTGTGGGCCTAAGAACACAGATAAGGGAGATGCTTTTCCACACGAGTGGTTGGCCCCTCCATAAAGAGGCAGACTACTGAAACATTCCACTGCAGGGAGAATCTGGCGTCCATACTGCACACCCTACAGTCTCTATAACTATCTGATCACGGGGACTGACTTGTCATTTTGGGACTTTTCTTTCTTCCCACCAAAGAAATTCAACATGTTGATGATGTACTGTACAAACACAAATAATCCCCATGTGGTCTGGCAATAACTTCTGGTCTAAACATGTACCTTTACAGCACTTTGAGTGTGCTTTGAGGGCTATTGATGGGTTCAAAGCAAATGTTAGTGTGTGAGGTGTACAGATATAGTACAGTAGAAAGACTGTGTGTGCACAACACACAGATACACACTCATACAGTGGCTTGCGAAAGTATTCACCTGCCTTGGCATTTTTCCTATTTTGTTGCCTTACAACCTGGAATTTAAATTGATTTTTTGGGGGTTTGTATCATTTGATTTACACAACATGCCTACCACTTTGAAGATGCAAAATATTTTTTTATTGTGAAACAAACAAGAAATAAGACAAGAAATCTGAACTTGAGCGTGCGTAACTATTCACCCCCCCAAAGTCAATACTTTGTAGAGCCACCTTTTGCAGCAATTACAGCTGCAAGTCTCTTGGGGTATGTCTCTATAAGCTTGGCACATCTAGCCACTGGGGTTTTTGTCCATTCTTTAAGGCAGAACTGCTCCAGCTCCTTCAAGTTGGATGGGTTCCGCTGGTGTACAGCAATCTTTAAGTCATACCACAGATTCTCAATTGGATTGAGGTCTGGGCTTTGACTAGGCCATTCCAAGACATTTAAATGTTTCCCCTTAAACCACTTGAGTGTTGCTTTAGCAGTATGCTTAGGGTCATTGTCCTGCTGGAAGGTGAACCTCCGTCCCAGTCTCAAATCTCTGGAAGACTGAAACAGGTTTCCCTCAAGAATTTCACTGTATTTAGCGCCATCCATCATTCCTTCAATTCTGACCAGTTTCCCAGTCCCTGCCGATGAAAAACATCCCCACAGCATGATGCTGCCACCAACATGCTTCACTGTGGGGATGGTGTTCTCGGGGTGATGAGAGGTGTTGGGTTTGCGCCAGACAAAGCGTTTCCCTTGATGGCCAAAAAGCTCAATTTTAGTCTCATCTGACCAGAGTACCAAACGTGTTTCTTTTTTTTTTTCTTTAAGCAATGGCTTTTTTCTGGCCACTCTTCCGTAAAGCCCAGCTCTGTGGAGTGTACAGCTTAAAGTGGTCCTATGGACAGATACTCCAATCTCCGCTGTGGAGCTTTGCAGCTCCTTCAGGGTTATCTTTGGTCTCTTTTTTGCCTCTCTGATTAATGCCCTCCTTGCCTGGTCCGTGAGTTTTGGTGGGCGGCCCTCTCTTGGCAGGTTTGTTGTGGTGCCATATTCTTTCAATTTTTTAATAATGGATTTAATGGTGCTCCGTGGCATGTTCAAAGTTTCTGATATTTTTTTATAATCCAACCCTGATCTGTACTTCTCCACAACTTGTGGAGAGCTCCTTGGTCTTCATGGTGTCGCTTGCTTGGTGGTGCCACTTGCTTAGTGGTGTTGCAGACTCTGGGGCCTTTCAGAACAGGTGTATATATACTGAGATCATGTGACAGATCATGTGACACTTAAATAAAGTCCACCTGTGTGCAATCTAACTAATTATGTGACTTCTGAAGGTAATTGGTTGCACCATATCTTATTTAGGGGCTTCATAGCAAAGGGGGTGAATACATATGCACGCACCACTTTTCCGTTATTTATTTTTTTGATTTTTTTTTAACAAGTTATTTTGTGTATGTCCATTACATGAAATCCAAATAAAAATCCATTTACATTACAGGTTGTAATGCAACAAAATAGGAAAAAAGCCAAGGGGGATGAATACAGTGACGGGAAAAAAGTATTTGATCCCCTGCTGATTTTGTACGTTTGCCCACTGACAA